CTGATGGTCCAACCGTCCCTTTTCCTCCGGTCTCCCTTCCCATTTGGGATGGAGAATATCCCATACAAAACTCATTCCTTATCCCATTCTGCGGCCATATCCATCATAAACATTAACACTCACTATAATCTTCGGTTTACAACACCAATACCCAATTATTTTCAATAAATATAGATAGGTCGATCTCCATTTTTTTATGGTATTTTTAATGTTTTACATCTCTCTGTCATCCTCTCTCTCATATTGTCATATAATGTTAGGTAATGTTTAATACTTTTAATTAGAGAGTTTAATCGGTATATATGAATGTATAAAGAGGTATTGAATTATTAATATTAATTCGTTGTCTTATGGGGATATCAGTCTATTTTAAATGTTTAGTGTCTCAGTTGTAACTATTTTGTCTTTTGTGATTTATTGTTATAATTAGTTGTGATGAATTATGAATGTTGGAATTTATTGAATTTTCATTTGATTTATTTTGAATTTGAAATTGACGGTGTGACGTTGAATTCAATTTCAATTGATAATTTTCAAACGGATTATCATTCACCTTGAATATTTTCGAGTTCGTCCAGCTGCTGTTCTTTTTTAGTGATAAGATTTTTGTGCTGATAAGATTTTGCCCCGAATCACCAATCAATGTTGATGATTCAGAAATAGAATGAATTTACGGCGTAGTATTATGTCAGGTCGAATTTTTCAGATATCCACTATCTATCTGTCTTTGGCCACTTCGATTGTTTATATTTTTAGATTACTGTTTTTTCATTTCGAGTTTCGAATTGAAAGTTATAATAGTTATTATATTTAAGTTTAATTGACAAAACAAAGGAGAAAATAGCGAAGATCGTTAGAAACATTTTTTCGACATATTGTTTATGATCGGCAGCAAGTTTAGAACCAAATCGTCCCCAATTATTGATAAATCATGCGTTAATTTAATGAAATTATTGATAAATTGATAAATTATGCGTTAAATAAAAAATGCGTTTCGAGTAAAAAAAGCTGTTTAATGTACGCAAAAAATTTTTTGCAAGAAAAATTTCGGTATTGTTTATTTTTAGGTGGATAAGGCGTATTACCCTCCCCTGTTTTCCAAGGGTCGAGAATGAAAGTATTATCTCCATGCAATTTTATCACGGAAGTCTCAATGACCGCCGTATTAACGTTTTTACGAGTTCCCTCAGACGCTCATATTCATATTTTATCATCGTATTCTCGGTTTTACGTTCCTTTGATTATCCGTCAAAATGCAGAATTGACAAAATTTTTATTTTCGATAATTTATTACCGCAGATTACTTACGGAATCGACTTTATGATTTGGAAATTCAAACGAGGCGCCACTACGTCAGCTTTCCGCTTTTTATTTTTCCAATATGTTCTGCACCATTTTTTCTTCATTTTCATATGTTATTCAGAAATTTTTTTTATATCGAATTCATATCTTTCATCACATCATTTCATAGAACGGGTGAATCGATCAAATCCCTTTCGATCAGCTGTCAATAAGAATCTCCAAATCCAAGGGAAATAACGGAATTTGGGGTAGAATAATTTTTGTAGATCTAATTAATATTTACATAAACACTTCATTATTTATTTCGTTCATCCTATCTCATTTTCCTTCGACAGATTTTTCAATTGTCCCATCTTTTGGTAATTTTACAGAAGCACTCGCGAATTTTCAATGTATCAATGAAAAATTGATATTATTTACCCGTGAGGTCGAATTATCTCGAGATCTTTCGTGATTTCGAGCGAAGGATCTGCGATTTCAATGGTTTAATAAATTACAAGGAGGGCATTAAGAGAAGATTTTCAATTATTAATCTCTTCCTCTATTTTTTTTCATCTATAAAGATTCTCCTTGCTCGCTCTCGAGGGATCACTCGCCTGAGTAATTTCAAAATAATGGGGCTGGGGATGAAGATTGGAGGATGGTTTTTCGAGGGAATTACATTTTCATTCGTCTTTGACGAATTAAATATGAGTTTTTAATGAGGGTATGGGGATTATTTCCATGAGATCCCTGCAGAGAGTAAGGGGAAAGTTTGAGGATTAGTCTGGATTCTGGGCGAATGGTTTTATTTTGCAATAAATCAACGCCGAATTCGAGAGACGCAATACGACGAATATGTATTTTCGAACAAATCATGCAGGATTTAATTTTTCTATTCTAATTTCTTATCATGCACTGAGAAAATAATTATTCTTTCATTTACTTGAGAGAAGTATGTATTTTTATAAAAATTTTATTTTTCCTGATGACCTCAACTAAGTGTTGACGATGATAATCATTTTGTTCTACAAGATGATTTCTCATTTTTCAAGTTTTTTTTACAAATTAAGAATAAATTATGTATAATGATATAATTAGGATGTCTTTGAGGAAATAATCAGCGTGCTGGCACTATGACCAAATATAATGGTATAATTGATAAAATTGACGTGAAAAAAAAGTTTCATCGCCGTGGAAGAATTTCCTCAAGTTTTTAGTAAACTTTTGGCAAAATTCCCAAAGCGTTACCAAAAATTGAGATAAATGGACGCACGACTGTGAAAATTTATGAGCCATTGAATAATGATAAGACTGATAAACGGTATATTATTGTATATCAATCCGATCCACGGTTCCCTAGACATGTACCAAAAAACGAAAAATGAGAAGATATCAGCAACAGCTCCTTAAGGCATTTTTAGGATGTTCTTAGTAGGAAGAGAAAGCTTTTGACGATTCTTTAAATAATTTATCAATTCCCAGGGAATACATAACATCCCATCCCCGGTTATTGTTAATTATTAACACAGTCGCGAGTGCAATCCGCATAACTTTGAAAATTAGACATTAATTCATTTTGTAAATTAAAATTTGCTGGTAATAAAGGAAGGAAGATCTCAGATTTTTTCCCATTTTTCGGGAATATGAAAGTTTATTTACAGAGGGAACTCAGTCGCATTGCAATAAGTAATTTTCGCGAAGATCCCAAACTTCTTATTACTTACGTATTTATTTCAGCTGTTAGAAATTTCGAGGATTTCAAAACACGAAATCTTGTCTGAATTAAAACATTTTAGCAAAAAATAAAAGAGGATTAATTGAAAATTCTGCGAAGAGAAGAATGAATGAACGAAAGAATCCATCAATCGGTGACGATTTAGCCGTAGAAATATTGAAGATAATAAATTGAATAAAATCTTGCACTCAATCTATAGAATTCTCTCAGATTCCTCCAATACTGAATTCATTAAAATCATCAGCGAACTGTCGTGACATTCAGGAACATTCCAAATAACGGCGAGAGATGGTTAACGCTAATAAAACGTTTTATTAAACTTTACTCTCGTTTACTCGGCTGTGTACTCGGGTTGTAACGATGCATCATTGCTCGTTGAACATCGCAAACCCTAAAGTGACAAATGCGAGGATGCAGAGATATGATATTGTATGAAATGCCTACGCTACCACAAGATTAAATATTCCAGCGAAGAACTAACGGTCGAGGAAGGACCGAATCCAATCTACTATTCTCATTTACTCACATTTCCGACAAATGTCCAAATATTTTATGTAAAATCATTGTAATCACTCAAAATCATTTTTAGAATTGCACAATAAAAATATGTCACGAATGGTATTGAGTAAGATTAATTTTAATTAAAATTCTGTTGATGATTTTTATTTGAAATTTTTACCTGAAAATCTTTGCCGATTGATAAGTGCTTATCTCAATTGATAATTATGAAATCATGTGGGCGAATGAAATTCAGCGGTTTTGAGAGAATGATGTGGTCACTTATTTTGTGAGCTATTCACAAAATAATCTGCACATCCGTTGGTTCTGGTCATATTTCAATTTATCTCTCGCTTCACAGCAGAATTCTTCGATAATTCAATTTTTATCTTGAAAAATACGTTTCTTCCGGGGCTTCAGACTCCAGCAATCACTGGGTTAGTGAGGAGAGATTCTTAAAAACTATTGCACTGATACCCTTGGAGATGAGGAGCGAGACAGGAAGGAAATTGCTGGGCATTAACACAATTAAATGAGATGATTGTCGCCGACATTATGCTGACATCTCTCGAGTTGCTTTCCCTCTTTGGCTTCCCCTCTTTTTTTTTGTAGTGTTGCATATTTAGCTGATTCTTTTTCTCATTTTTTTCGACTGAGTGTGGGTGAAGCGAACAAATCACAGATTGGCTTGTGCGTCACACAATTGCCGAAGGAAATGAAATCAAGTTTGAGTGATTGCGGGACGGGAACAATTTCTAAATTTACTCGCTATCATTTCTATTTTTTTCGCTTACGAATAATCTCAGACTGGGAATTTCATAGTTAATGAGGAAATTCAGATGCATGTGAATTTTCGAAATGTCTCTAATCAATGAACTGGTTTTTTAAAAGTAAGCTATAATCTTCTGTATCGTAATACGATTGACTGAAATGATAATCGATTACCAATGATCGATTTTGCACCAGAAAATTGATACGAAAGACGTGGAAGTGGTAACTAATTAAATCGTGAGAAGCTTATAAATTATTCTGACTGATAATTTCATTAACTAATGGACTCAACGACGAAGTAAACTTTTACATTTTGAGGTAATACTTTGACGTTAAGGCTTTTACGTTATGAACTTGTGAATCGTCAATGAAAATACGGAATAATTGAATTCAATGAGGAACTTGATGATAATGACTAAATAAATAAAATCATTGATCCAATAATAAGTAATGAGACGACACGCTTATTTGCCTTCAAAAATAAACATTTATTTCAAAATGAATATCTTACGAGCTGATTTCAGTTTTCAGTTGTATTTTTTTTTTTCGTTTTCATTTCTTAATCTTAACACCGACTGTGTAGGGTTCCAAAAAAGTGTTTCCCGGTTTTATTTTCTGAATGTTTTGTTTTTCTTTTGTTCATCAGCGCGCCATGTACAACGATTAAATTCACATGAAAGGTTTACCTTAAAAATTGAATGACTCAACATGATTTTTCATTATAATCATTACGCGCCATGATACAATTATTATACACAATGAAAAAGAAAAAAAAGAAAAATAAAGAGATGTTCAGACTCCTTGGCAAAAATCACTTGACACGAGGAAAGAAGATACAACAATCTTCGTTAGTTATTGGAATTCATTCGTGTGAATTCGCACCTTCAAGACTGGTTAACTGATAAACTTTTAACGAAATAGTACCGCTAAATGTTCATATCACATTGTTGAATTTCATTTCAACCCGCTTTGTTTTTCTTCTTTTGTGGTGATGATCTGTGATGATTCTTCAATTTAATTCATTTAAGCGGCCTCCTTCGATGATTGCACGAGTTCGCCAAAGGAATTTTCCATACATTGTCTCAATTCCGCGTAACTCACCACTAATACACTTTGCTCGTCCCTTGACATTAGACAAATCTGCAGAGAAAATAAAAAGAAATTGATGGGAAAGAATATGAAACACCACCAAATAATATGTTTCACCACTTCATTGATCAGTTGGAATAAATTGCGAACTGAAAAATACTGACCTTATCTGGTGAACCACAGTCCAGCTTATTGAGACAGGAAACAACGTGAGCCATATCGAGCCACGGCTTGTCATCAGCAGTTACCTGATGAAAAACGTAATCCCTAAATAGTTTGAGCATATAACGATCACCGGTTTCAGCCCAGGTGACATCCATATTGTGCTCAGGTCTTTCGTTGACTGTTGCAAGTTTAACGAGTAACCTGAGCAGTCTACCATTCTCAAGCTCCTTCGAGAGTTCATTTTCAAGAACATCAGATCTTAATTGAACAGCATCAAGTTGTGTGTAGAAACGAGCACCAATCATTGGCATCAGGTCTGTCACGCTTTTTCTTGCCTGGTCAGAGAGCAAGTACCTAGAATGTAACATATAATCCCATTTATAAGTTCCTACTAAATGACGATCATTGGAATAATCAAATTCTTTGTTTAAATTCGAAGTTCGAAAAGTCCTTCTCCAAGGCCATTAGGTTCGGATATATGGGGCAGATCTCTTGACATTTTTACTTGATGTATGGATTGGTAGAGAGATGACAGAAAATACGAACAGAATAAAGTTACGGAGATCAGTTGAGTAGGTACGTGCGACGAGTTCTAATGATGCTTGTATATTGTCGCGATGGACGGCAAGTAGACTGCGACAGGCCAGTGCTAGGACCAATTTACCGAGAGCAATTAAATCCTCTTGCTGATAATGTAGAATAAGTGACAATGGGTTAGCTGCATTTCCATCGAATGTCACAACGTCAGGTACAGCTGCACAACTCAAACGTAATCGAGTCCGGGATGTTAAGAGGACCTTGGTTGGGTCTAAGCACCGGTATGCCACACCTGCAATTATTCATCGATGTTTTTTCATGAGAAAGAGATGAAAGAAACCTTTACCCCTCAAACAACGTCATTATGTTTTTGGTTTTAGTTTCCTAAAGTTATCGGATCGTTAAATTTACATGCCTCGATGGAAATAATGACATCGTCTGGGAAATGAAAATATAAAATTGTGCAGTTTTTTTATTCGATTATTATGAGTGGGACGTCATTATTTTCAGTACAATAAAAGGAGAAATGTGCGGATTATGCGTGAATTTCTGTGAACATCTCTCGCATAATTTTATTAATAACCCTTAATGACGGAATATGAAGCATTAGGGAAAAATTCTGCACGAAAAGGCCGCTCGTTGTTTCCTCTCAGTACTCCGGGAAATTCAAAGAATTCTGTAGTTAACATGGAGTAGAATAAAAACTCGACTCACTGAGGTTTGTCTGTAGGTTTCTGCAGCGGATATGAGACAAGTTTAAGTAGGAAGCCCGAGGATTCAACTCTGAGGTAAAAGAACCACAAATACGGAGAATTTATGAAATGAAAAAGTAAAATTTAAAGGAATTCATGAGCTGAGTGAAATTATACGCTTTTCATCTAATGGAAAATGAACTTATTAAATGTATTCGATGAATTAATTTCAATTCATCCAGAAAATAAACTCACCACCAGCATGGATGACTCGTAACGCAGCCGTAAGTTGAATAATATAGCTCCAAATAACACTCTCTGGTAACATACTATTATGCTGTTGTCTGAGTATTGTATTCTTAGTGTGACTGTATGGACGTGGAGCACTGGGATCAGACATGAATGGATCCGCGTACCCATTGAGTTCAGAGGCTGAGAAGTGTTTGCTCAGGAGAGTTTCAGCCCCAGGATGGTAATCATAAACGAATACCATGGCTGTAATTTTTATGAGCAGTCATTACCGGATTCCCGCACGATATTGATGAATAATTTGGATAATACTTAGACTACACACAATGATCACCAAAGGCTTTGGTCGTAAAGACCTCCAGCAACTGGACTAAATTTGTATGCGATATGCGTTTCCACATATCAACAAGTACCATACACTTCGTATTGCCCAAACGAAAGTCTGTGGAGAAAAAAATTTCATATCAGTATCAATAATTGACCACATGAAGAAAAAAAAAAGAAAGTGAGCAGATTTGTTTCTTTTTTTTGGAAATATTTTTTAGAATATAGGTTTTTCGAAATATTAACCGCATTAACGAATACTTCATTAGAATTATCTGGAATAATCCGTGCCTGAAATTATTGGAAAATTAATCTCCCATAATTCTGTAATCTGCTACATAATACTCTTGGACATATCTCTGAAACTAATGGAAAAAATAAAGTTTTTACCAGAAACTTTTCCATGGAGCTAATGGAGAACTACAAAAAAATTCTTAACAAAAATTTCATCACTTCTCTTAGTTTCTGAGATAATGTCGGAAAATTCACTGAAGATCCGAGTCAGCTTAACTTGTTTTATGATTTCACGAAAAAATTCAACAGAATTTATTCGCTCTGTTGATGAAATTCCAAGTATAACTGATGAATAATGTACCATAGGATGAAGACATACCATGAACACGACGTAAACAGTAACGAGTCCCATTCTTGAGACTTGTTGCTTTATACGTCGATGTTTGATATCCAAGGACAGTTGATGCTGGTTTGTGTATCGGCTCAAGTGGACACAATTCGTGATAATTATCAACTTCAGTTGGTAAATCTGGGAATTGGTTGGGATCAGGTTGCGTAAGTGTCAGGGTATTTTTGTGGAGTATGTCCATACGCAGATTAGCACTGACGAAGAAACTTGGATTCGCTTGAGGTGGAGGAGTGGACGGTGCCGATGAACTGTTTGATGGAGTCACTTTCGTTGGTTTCACCGTCTGCAAATGGCTGGGGGTACCTGGGTACACATAGCCCACCTGCCCTGGCCCAATCTGTTGAATGTCCAATCAAGTCAAGAAATATTTCTACACTAATATCCAATCAAATCAAATCAGTGGCATAATATTGAGTTGAATAAATACCAAAATAATTTGAACTTCTTCTAGTCATTATTTTTTTATAATTTTTGTGGTAGAATTATTAATAAATATAAAATAATAATAATGTCATTGGACTCACTTCATTTCCGTCGTCATTGGCGGTTGGATCCCCAGTGGCATTGCCAACGTAAAAATACGTAGTACCTCCAACATTCTCCTGGGAATGATAAGAATTACCAAATAAGTTTGGCGAACTGCTATTACTTCCAGCCAGCCCTCGTCCTGGCACAAACTCTGGACTGGCTGCTGCTTTCTTACTAGACTCGAGGGATAAGTTTGACAGATGCTTGGTTACTGTGCTCGCATTCAGTGTCGTCGCTGGACTCTGACGATTCTGCTTCCAATAATAATTTCAATAATCATTAATTACAAAGGATAATCAGCAAACGTTATAAAAATCAGCAGTCAGGTGGTAAAATTATCCGATTGAAGTATATGATTCAATTTCATATTCATGTTACGATTGTTTTTGTAAAAAAAGGGAATAATTATAAAACATGCCTTTATGCAAACATTATTTTCTCAATTGAATCTTAAATAAAAATTCTTTGAAGAAGAAATGAGTAATTTCATTTCAAGTATATTTTTAAATATTTATAAATTTGAGTAGGGAACAGTTGGAAGATATGGCAGGTGAAGATATCCATAAAATCGATTTTAGTTCATGATAATATGAATTTTCACTCTGAATTGTGACTGGTTCCTGGAAGGGGGGATAACGATTGGATATTGGCTAATTTTACCACTTAGCTACTGGAATTAAATTTCACTGAATCAGTTTCATCACCATATAAGTAGCAAGTTTGGATTCCAAGGGAACTACGTTAGTTTGGGGGGTATAAGCAACGAACATCGATGGGTCCATTTTGCCCCCTGCCTCTGCATTTACACCTCCCCAATTCCAATTGTCGATCAAATATTCACGAAGAAATGCTCAAGAATTCGTATAAATAAAGGTTTCTGAATAATCATTGAATCTGTAACAGAAAACAATCAATTAAGGATCTTAATTGAAAATTCTGTATTGGAGTGCATATAACATGACTATAAATTTCCAATGACAATCATTAATTATGGATTTTAGCCAAAAATTGCAAGGAACGCCTCGGAGCGATGGTCTCCAAATCGGTCTCGCACGACTTGACAAAGAAATTTGTTGAAAAGAATTTTGAAGAAAAATTCGAAATGAATAATCTCAAGGACCTCGTTGAGAAAATTTATTGTCAAACCGGACTCCTGACCTTTCCGGCTAAAATAATCAGTGATTTGAAGGAATACGAGATTACAGTTACAAAAGCTTCTCAAGTTTAATATTCATACAGAATTCTGTGGATGTGAATAATCGATCTGAATATCACAATCGATTATCTTACTTGCCCCAGTAAAATCCCTCCGGAATGCATAAACAAATGCCTGTGATAAATAAATTTGAATGACAAATTATTCGATGTTGAGTGCTGAATCGGAAGCACATCCTCATTTCCATTCGCATCTCCAATAAAGTTTAAAAAAATCTGGAGGGAAATCTAAAATCGGCATTCATTTTCATATGAAGTGGTAAAATAAAATAGGAATTGAATTTAAACGCTTATACTTTATAATTGAATGAAATTGTTACATTTTGTCACGAGTTTTATTGCCACAATTCGAAAAAAAAGTCCAGGTTTTCAATGAAAAATCTCTCAATACTCGTTCCATCCATAACAAAAAAATAATAATGATACTTTTAATAACACTAAGACGTAATATTAAACATCATAACTTGGATTAAAATTTTCATTAATAATAAATATGAATTATCCCACAACCAGGTAATTTCAACGGAAAATATATTTTTAGTTGTCTTCAATTTTATAAATAATTGATGAAGAAATCCCCCTCAATTTTATTACCCCATAACCAGAGTAGCAAATATAAATCCAGTACGAATAATCCAATAAATTCTAGCACATTTAGTTGAAATCTTTGTGAATTTTTTACGGAGTCGTAGAGCACTTGAAAAACAAGAGTCCCTGGGCATCAACAAACACAAGCCTCCCCCCACCAGAAGGAATAAATCCCCCCAATGGAACATCGCCGAATGACTCCCCCAAAATCGGTAAATCTACATCGCCAGAAAAATCCTGTAGAAATCCTGTAAAAATGCCAAACCAAACTAAACGTCCGATCTGAGTTCGACAAGCATAAGCAATGGCAGCTGATTTTGACAATACACCAAAGAAAAAAAAAAGCCCACAAGATAACCTTGACAGTAAACCCCTGAAATCCCACATAAACTCACCCGATAAAACCTCCGAAAAGCCTCCAACAAGTCTCTCCCCCAGTTCCCCACAATAGCCCTCAGATGCAACCAACAATATCACTCATAAAATGACAAAAAAACAACAGAAGATGAAGGATAAATGCTGGTGTTAAGGTACGCGGTTGAACATAACCCAGCAAGTTAGGCTGTGGTGTTCTGTTCTGTCAGTGACGTCGCGTCAATTTGAGGCGCGAAAATACTCAGCTATTTTTTTCTCCCCCAGTCTCTTTTATTTTTCAATTCTCTCTCTCGTCGTATTTACACACAGTCACCTACGCACAAGAGTTGATTGGGTAAACAAAAGATAAAAGATATTATATTTGTGCGTATGATAAACAGTTGAGCCTGACCGTTGGAGATAGTATTTTGTTAAGACGACTGTAGTTGACGAGACAAAGGCGAATGTGTGCTGTTTTCCCCCCTCTACACAAAAAACCGATTCGATCCTGTGTGTTTATGGTGTTTCTCTCCCTTGGTTGCTTCGTCCTATGATTGTCTCTTTTTTTAGTGTTGGAGAGAGTATACGGTTGTCTCACTCCCTCAATTCGATCGTCTCATACCTTTTGCCCCCTTCGTCCTCCTCACCCTGTGGCGATGCCGCTGACTGGAGCGCTCACCCACTGGCGTCGTGCACCAGCTGGTTGTCATACGTCACATCCTATTCAACAGTTCACATTGACGACACCAGTGTCGCTTCGTCCCCCACTTTTTTCCAAATCACCATTTTTCAATCGTTGCAACCAAAGAGGATTGACTAACCTAGAGGCTCAGTTCTGGGGATTTGATAAATTTACCTCCAACCGCTCAAAACCTTTTTTTTTATTATTTAATTTTATCAATAACACACCTATTCAAAAAATCCAAGGTTGAGATATTCCTGACATCATGATCATTCCTGTTCGCTGCTTCACCTGTGGAAAAGTCATCGGAAATAAGTGGGAGGCGTACTTGGGACTTCTGCAAGCAGAGTATACCGAGGGGTATTTGTTCTAACCTCTAGAATTTTCTACATTTTCTTCATAATTATCATTGGTGCTTTTATTTCTCCGAATTCCCCTAATATTCAAATATTTGGAGGAATTGTTTATATGTGAATGTAACTTCTCTCATCAGTATTGGTTCTTTCTAAATTATGCATTTTCTATTGAAAAGAGTCTTCAATGATTCCTTGATGTTAAAAATTCCTTGATTTTAAACTCCCCGGGAGAAATATGGGATCAATCTTTAATGGATTTAACTCAAGAAAGTCATAGTAAAGGCTTTAAGATAGAACCTTCAGCCAAGTGGCACATCTATAGAATTTTTCATTATTTGGAATTTCTGTTCACTCTGAAAATGTTCACTCAAATTGTAAGATTAATTAATTGTAAATGTTTCAGTGACGCTCTGGATGCATTGGGATTGAAAAGATACTGCTGTCGCAGAATGCTGCTGGGGCACGTAGATCTCATCGAAAAATTACTGAATTACGCTCCTCTCGAGAAATGAAATGAACATTGGAATTGGAATTCATGTGATTATCTCGTTATGACCTGATCCAGTTTCCTCGTGAACTTTGATCATCGATCATTACAAATTTTTAATTTTACTCATGAAAAACAATTAATTTAAGTGGCATCGTCGTCATAAGTCATGTAGAAGTTCATTTCATGTTATTTAATTATATAAGATTATATAAGATCCTTTCAATTAAATTATAATATGATTGATTTCCGGTGTTCAAGCGATAATTCTACATACGATAAGTTCTGGAGTACATTATTAAAATAAATCGCAATCGGGTAATATCAAGGATAAAGAAAAACACCAATTATAAGTTCATCATGTACTTTCAATATTAAAAATTGTTCTCAACAAATCGTCTGATAACAGTAATTTTCATTTTTCATTCCACACCTATCATAAACTTTCATTTGATTCTTAATAATTACCTGAAAATTGGTCATAAGTATTCTTTTTCAGTTTGGTACAAAGATTATTTTTCTTAATTTCGAATACTGATCAATTTGATATACGATTATAAAAAAAATATATACTCAGCATCTAATTTCCAAAAATTGAAGCTTTAAGTATCCAAAGGAAAATTGTTCAATTGACATCAAGTATTTGCTGATAAAAAACTAATCTCCTTAATGAACTTACAATCTAATACTTTCATTGTATTACATCGATGATTTTGCTCATGGAGACAGCAGCAATAAAATTCGGGGGAAGCTAAAACTGTAGAAAAAATTATGTACATAATTGGCGGGATTCGTGATGATCAGCCGATAATTATCGAGTGCCATTTCATCAGTTTGAAAGTATCAAGTTGTCTATTTCCAGCTGTAAAATCTATTGTTTTTCAACTTTGATGGGTCGTACACAAAGTTACAAGCATATTGCATTTATTTCCCCTCCAAGCATGCTATTTACCCTCAATAATGCACTACTATTCGAATATTTGTCATTGCAAGTTGAAAGGCATATCCTGCTGTTGCTAAATGCTGTATTCACCAGTAACGTAATAAAAACATTTCTGCTCCGAGACTGTATCGATGATGAGAAATCTCGAGAGGAAACTTCAAAAGTTACTGACAGCTACTACAAATGGCCCCTGACATTTCCCCACACAATTGTTCATTTCCAAGATAATCATCGACATTAATTTGCATTCAACTTAGCTCAGTTTATTGATTATCAAATTAACTAATTCACTAAATTACTCGTTAATGAACACTTACGAAGAAATATCAAAAGAGTTTTGTGGAGAAAACATTGTCAATTACAAAAAAGATCCTTTGATATTTTGTTATTCAATTGATTGTTGCTGAATGAATATTAGTGGATAATTTAACATGATTATTCAACTTTACTAATGAACAAGAAAATACCCTTTCAAAATTCAAAACTAATAATTTGTATAATTAAAAAATGCTTCATTCATTTCTCCTGGATTCATTCGCAATTAGATAAAAAATCCATTTTCATTGTCAACGACAATAACGACACAATTGAATAATCGATGAATTAACAAATAAAAATTTCAACTAATACCATGAGCGAAGACTCTGCTGGTCACCGATTGTAAATTTGCATGCTTTATTGTAAGAGCCCCGGCGATGGCATTGAATGAATGGTCAATGCCCGATTACTCTTATCAGTGATTGAATTCTCCTATGTAACTATTAGTTGGTTGGTGTATAGGCTTTGATAATGCCTTCTATGGAGTCCTTAGAACCGAAGATGAGTGCCATCACTCCGATGAAGATGATTACGACATTTTTCATGATGATCCAATTGCATTTACCGAAACCCACGTCCCAGCAGGTGATGATTTCAATGGCTACTGGGATTAAAATTCCCAAGATTGAAAAGCAGAAGGCACCGATGAGACCGATCAGAGGAGCAATTGTGGGTACTGCTACAGCTAACAATACTGCAAATAAAAATTCCAATTTTATCAAATGAAACTATTCACGAAATATAGAAATTTGGAAAGTAATATGTGGAATTTTTCAGCATTAATTCATCCACTCCTCTCTAACATAAGTGATTTTAGACTTAGACTAGTTCTTAGATTGCCCCAGTGTTTGAGAGAAATGTATTCTTTAGAAATTGAAAAAACTTACCACAGCCAGTTACGAGTCCAGTTCTAACGATATAATTAGCTAATAGAGGTTTCTTCGTAAAACGATCCTTAAGGCCACTCCAGGCAATGTCCAGACATACGTAGAACTGTAGTCCAAAGGTGCAAAATACTGCGAGGGCAACTGCCAGTTTAACGATCTGAGCTGGGCTATAAAAAGAAATATCGAATCCATATTTAGAAAAAAAAATATTAATAAGCATTAAATGATAGTGTCAAAGGTTCAAGATAACGCATAAAAAAGAAAATTATCATGATAAAAGATAACGGCGATACGAAAAGTGTTTACAAAGACGTTGCAGTCCAAACCCAAAAATTGCCATGGAAGGCGGAAATATTAGATGGTCCGTGTGGTTTTGGCAAATATACGCGAATGGCAGAGTAATGATCGATTTTTCTGATTGTTAAAAAATCATACGACATATTTGTCGTTCTGACCAACGCTTCAGTAATAGATAACAGTTGCAAAGTAATTAGAATTTTCTATTTCGTAATGGATAAATATCTCTAAATGAGTAACTGAAAATGTTATAAAAGCCATAATTGCTTTTAAATGTATTTAGAAATCGATTACTATTTTCCTTTGAGGATTATTAATTTCTGATTTTTTCATATTTTTAAAAGGGAGAATAATGATAGCCACGACCACTGGTAATGATTTTTGATAAAAAATTGTGCTTGGACTTCTGATAGTGAATATCTCTACTTACATTTCGTGAATTGGCAAATCCTGAGTGATAATTTCCGCAGTGGAATTCGGATACTTGAGGTATCCCAGGAATCCCAAAAGAATATAAATAAGTGTAACACCAGACATTCCTTTACTAAGTACTCCGAATATGCCAACAAAGTGTTGAGGTGTCTTCATCTGGTTCTCTAGGGGCATAACAACGCCAATAGCTTCCATAGCAAAAATAGTGATACTGAAGAATTTGGGGAACTCTGTTAATGGTTTAACATAGGGTACTGTGTCCACTGGTGGCAAATCAATAACGAGGTAATAGAAAGTGATCCCTAATCCAGTTGCCATGAAAAGATTGGCAATCATGGATACAGGAGCCAGATACTTCAGATCTGGAATCCAAGTTAAGAGGATCAGTGGCAGTAAAAGGCACGCAATTGTCATTCTCTCGTCAATTCCCCCAACAGATTCTGCTGCTGGTGCTGCAGTTGTTATATTGTATGTTTGGTTGAATAACGCTTCTTGTGTGGAATTTACAGCTGTCATGACTGGATACATGTAGTGATTTATTATCTCTCGGAAATTCGCCGCTACTATCACGGCGTATACACTGCAGGTTCCGAAGTATGTTATGAATAAACTTATTTGGATTAAATATCTGGAACAAGCGATATTTATTGAATTAGTTTTATTATTAATGTTTTCAGAGGTATGATAGAGGTAGAGGTAATTTATTTATTTGTGTCCTATTAAATTATTTTCATCTTTTGATGAAATACGATTAACGAAAGTCTTTCCATTTTATTTTACTGTTTTAATAAAAGTTTTATAGTATGTTGATATTTTTTGGATAGAGCAACGCAATTTTTAATTGTCTCTATAAATTATATAATATATAATAAATTGCTCGTGAAAGACATCACACTGAAATACGTTGTGCGATAATGAAAATGAATGATATTTTATCTTTCAGCAAATAAAAATTACCTCGAGGGTTTCGAGAAACCTCGTAAGCAGCTCGGTCCATGCGCCAGAGATGCTTCCGCAATATCAGCAAAACTCATTTCCGTCCTCCGCGTTTTGTGATACAAAACATGTGCGCATTTTACCTGTTTGAGTAATGAGAAATATATAGTCCATTTGTCTTGAATTACATAGAGAATTGCCATTACTGCTGAGATATATTGCTCACCAGGATGTATGCGCAGTGCGTGCAAACAAATGCAACGAAAAATGTGGCGAATATTCCAACGATTAATCCAGCACTTCTGAATGCACATGGCATCGCCAGTATACCGGTTCCGAGCGATGCTTTGAGCAGATGTGTCAAGGTGTCACAGTCCCTGAAATGATCATTAAGACAATCGAGATTTAAAAATATTTGCCTAATTTTCCAAGACTTTACTGTGTAGTTTAATTTCCAATATTGATAACTGTGGGGTAGAGCTTGGGAATTTTCATTTTAGAAAATGAGCATAATGGTTTCAACCAAATTTTTATGAATAAACTTACGTTGTGGGATTGGGATGCCTTCGCTCAGTAAAAGGGTTGAATTCCTTCCCCGTGAGGCCGACCTCGGCATCTCTTGGTGTGACTTGTACTTTGTATCTACAAAAAAAAATTACAAATGAATGCGTTAATTACAGATTCATTTCGAAAATGGGTCTCAGGATGATTGGCATGGTTTATTAATTGTCCCTACTGACATGCATCAGTCGAATTGGATCGGATTCTATCAATTGAATACTGGAGATTATTGCGTCGTTGGAGAGAATGATAATCAATCGTATTTCTAATCGCGTACCCCAGTACTCGTTTCGATGTCTCATCGGGAACAATTGTTGTAATTTAATTATAATTGAACTGACGTGGAAGAATATCAAACCCATTGCGTCTGGCCGAAATCAAAGATTCAAAAACAGAATATCTATCAGACACTTTTAAAAGCCATATATATACCATATCTCCATCAGGATATTTCAGAAATTAGAAAAGGGGATGTAATTTGATTATCTCCATAATTACTTCATATTACTTGAAGTAAACCATCTAATACGATCGATCTGTCAAACGTTAAAATTTTTCTTGAATTAAATTAATTTTTTTTAATGCATAATATCATTAAATTGAGGATTGACGCCCCATGCAGAAATTCATGGAAGGAATAATTATTCCTTCCCACAGTTGTTTAGAAGATACAGTAGAACTTCATGTGCAGTCATCACTTAACACTCACAATTACAGGGAACCTTTTAATTAACGAAATTAATTACTTAATCTCATTTTCGTAAAACAAGGTTTTGACGCAGTCCTAATTCAATATCAGACTTCATTGACGCGAAAAAATGAATATGGCTGAGAGGAATACTCGGTGATAGATTCAGAAAATAAATTGTAGACTAATAATGACGGTAATTAAGATAATAATTACGACTGCTCCTCTTCGTCCACATTTTGTTGAATTGATTCGCCCATTTATCCTAACTTGAACTCTCCAACCTCTGTCCAACAACTAACTGCAGACATCTTTGCTCTTCTTTAAATACCCAAAATTCCTTGATGCTATCGTGTTTTTTTTATCTTTAATTTTCGAACGTTCCCCCAATCAGGAAACACCTCCCGCCATTCAAACAATCCAAAAACCTCTCCCTCTCTCTCCCCGTTGCACTAATAAAAATCCAATCTCTACTTTTTCCAATTATCAAATGATAATAGTATATCTATAACACCACAAAAATTTCGTCCCAAATTTGTTCACGTGTTTATGATTTTTACTGTGATAATCGCTCGTTATTGCCTGAGATCTCGTGGGTAATCCTCTACGAGGAAAAAACTCATTGAGTGTATTCCCTTCTTGAAGGCAACATAATATTATTTTCATATCTGCATGGAGAATTTAATTTCTCTTTCCAAATCACCAGAAAATTTCTAGAATTTTTTAGAATAACATGTTCTACACTTCTCCCTGTATTTACCAATCAACATCGAACTTTTATCCGGGAATTATGAGACAAACATAAAATATTGACACACGTCGGTCAAGATGCAGTTTTACTCTGTTTTGGTCTCATCATCATCAAACACAACTATTTTGTAAAAATGAATACGGAATTGTCCGTTAAAAAAAATTTAATTTTTAACAGTACGAATTTGTGTGAAATTTATGAATTAAATATGGATAAAATCAACTAATCTTCTAATATTCAATAAAATTATAGTTTTATGGAATGTATATGAACTTGTACATTTACTAAAAGTATCGAAAAATGGGGTAATAATTTCCAGAATTCTCAATTTATCAGAAATTCCGCGGAATTCAATTGTTAATTTTTCTTAATTGGCAATTTTATAAGATCATACAACATCAAAAATAGTTGCTATAAATAGATATTTAGAAACAGATAAGCTATGTTATGACCCACTCTTATGACTTCTTATCAAACTAAATTTAATAATTCAATGAACGTTTAGGAATTTTGGGAGAGACAACACGATTCATACATTAAACACAAAATACCGCCTGAGGGGCAAATTGAACCCAAAAGTCATGTCATATCAGCGGCGAGATGAATGAAAAGCGAATGACTGACTATAAATATAAAACTATGGAGATGATACTAGAATTCAACCAATTTCCTCATAGTTTGATACATAGTTACCTCGAAACGAGATTAAGGTAACAAATTCTCCCTTGTGCAATATTAGGAAAATGATTATTGTTCATTAACCATTTTATTAAATTCATTTTATTCAATCTTGTCTCGAGTATCTGAATTTTGACTAGTTTCACTAATAAAATAAAAACCTTAATTATCTATTTTTTCAGTTAAAAAATTGGGGATATATCTCTTTGAAATTTGCGTCAATAAAAAAATTAGAGAAAACATTTAGAATTAATTCCGAATTCGTCAAAGGGCTCTTGACATTTAATTAGAGTGTACAGAATATCATGAATTCTACATGCGAGTCGGAAATCGAAAGACTCATTGTCAACGACAGAATTATAAAGTATTCGCATCCTTAAATAAATTAAACTCAGGATACTTACTTAGCGGTGAGGACCCCATCCTTGAAATTTGAGCCATCCGTTGGCAAAAACTCGTCAAGCTCTGTCGGTACTTTGTTATTGTGATCCTGTGAATAACAATCGATTCCAAATTATTCATGAAAATATTAATTCTAATTCATTTTCTAAGACATCACAAATCTACTTCTTTGACAAATTAAACGAGTACAGCAAAGTTGTACTTTGTCGTTCATTCTTCTAAGGTAATCGTGCCATTCAGATAAATCACATTGAACCTCCTTTTACAGCTTAAAAAACCATACTGATAATTATAAATAATGGGAATATTCGGCTTAATCGCTTGTGAGTTATCAATGATAAACGGTCCGCATTACCCTATTGGCAGAGAACAGAACAAAGTTAAAATGTTACATAAATGTTGAGCTCACCATTTTTGTAGATCAGTACTTTGATTTGCCGATCCGTGTTCAACGACCTGCAATAACCAAAAATTATTTACAATATTATATATGAATATTCCACAGAAATATGAATAATACTTGTTATTCGGTATTTATCAATAAATGTCTCGAGCCAACGATAATTACACAATTTCAGCTGAACAGTTGGTTGATCTACTCTGATCGCTTGCTTACTGAGTCTCAATAATACCATTACAATCAGTCCCGCTGCTCTAAACCAATCATCACATGTTTTGATGCTGATAACTTACGTTTTCACGATAAGTACATTGTTATTCCGCAAAGCTATAATCCCTCGTCATTGACTTTGTCATCAAACATCGACGAAAAAATTGTACAAGAAACTGATTGCAAATTAAAAATTTTATTTCTAACGATCGAATCGCTTGTCATCGTCACGTCATATCTGACGCCTTCTAGATTTCTTGAAGTCATGGAATTTAATTGAGTTTATCTAGAGGATCGATTGGTGTCAGGTAATTTCGCAATCTTCATCTGGAATTTTCAGATGAATGATATCGATTCATACTCCTCAATATTTTGTCGATGAAGATTCTACAGTATCTTTTTTAAAGTGGTATGCGATTTTTCGACGATTTTTATTATTTCAATATTAAAATTTCTGAATTGCCGGTGAGTACGATTACTGTGCGCCAAAAGCTAAATTTTATGATTGATTTTTCCCCCTGTACGCTGGCAAATGCTGATGGAATCCAAGAGGAGAATTGTATAGGGGCAAAAAGAATAGCTAATAACCGGTTAGGGAGACCGACGAATCAGATGATTATTTTTCGGAACTAGAGCCTTCAGAATTGGGCTTAATCAGTCCAACAGGCCGACATTGGCGTGAGTTCTAAATAGATTTAACAAAATATTTTCTGGATTATTCTATCAGAACGAAAGCGCAACTGTTTTCATTTCCACAATATCATGCACAACCATCTTTGAATAAACAATTCATATTGAAATAAGTCGATAAAGCGTGGCTGTAATGACGTCAGTTTTACCGATTACCGCCTAACATCGTTTTACCATTTACAAAATATTTCTTTTGAAGAAAAATCATATGATGTCTTCTTCCAGGACAGATTGGAATTTATTTGTTCTCTGGAATGTCATCATGTTACTATCGACTATGTTTTTGGTAGCTATCTTTCAAACTCAAAGAGATAAGAATATTTCCTTCTCTACTCGGAAAACAAATAAAATGAAAACTCTAGAGGTGAGCTGCGATGAAAGGAAAATTAGCTCCTGTGAAGGACACATTGCCGGTGTGTATTTTCAGATTTTCACCAAGAATTGAATTATTTGGTTTATTTTCCATTAGTTTATATTGAAAATGACTTTATTTATGCTTGCAAAACTAAAAACAATTCTGACTCCGTAAATGATAAAAGAAATGAGGTATTTAATGACCGTTTTTAATTGAAATTTAATTCAAACTTATATATTAATAAAAATTCTCATATCATTGTAGAGTAGGAGTAAGATGTATATATATATGGAGTATTGTCGAATGTATCTCGTAGAGATTAATAAATCGAGATTTTTCTCGGTTTCACAGAGGAATGACTCTTTAAATCAATGCTAATTGCTGAACCACTGATGTAATCCCAGTCAACGGTCATTGTTCTATGTACGCTCGACCGAGTAACGGTTAAGTACTCTATATCTGGTAAACGTGAGACAACCGTTAAAACTCTTATTCTCATCCACGTGGATAGAAAAATTCACTAATAGTAAGAAATATGACTCCCAGAGATTCGTATGACTGGCGATAAAAAACACTTCCTTCCTCGTCGGGTAAGATTCCTTCCCGCGTAATTATTTCCCACGACTTTCTTTACACAGCTGAAAAAATCAATTTTTTATCAAGGAAAAATGATCCAGCATAATTTTAAGTTTATCGGAAACACGTGCCTCAAATGCACGTGTCTTCGAATGTTAAAGTAAACAATGAAATATCTGACGTATTCGCATGAAAAAGACCTTAAGTTCGTCCGTTTACTCTATCACATAATGAATAAACAATTTATTTGGGTCAATAATTATTCGAGAAAAAAATATTTTTCCGCGGTATGAACAAATAAAGAAATTAATGATCGCCAGCTGTGAGCAGAATACAATTTTGGAGACAGACGCCTGGGGAAGATGGATATAGAAATAATTACCTACTTTTCACTAATGGGGAGCTTTTGATGTAACCCTAATGCATAAAAATATATTACCAACTCCATTGGGGGTCACTAACTCCGAGAATAACTCAGAACATTGACTGCACAAAGCTGCATCGTAGGAGTGTAGCCCTATGACGCCGTAATGATTGAACGAAACCCCATAAGTACTCTAATTGCCCTCAAAGACTTTTTACTTTCTTCTCTAGTCTAGTATTATGAGGTACTTCCCCTTATTTCCATTTCCATTACCTTGAACTCTATCGGCACGGTCAGAAATATTCAATAATTCAATAAAATTTCAAAAAACTTAAATCTCTCGCAATGAAATCTACCAATGAAAATCGACTAGATTGATTTTGAAGACTTTTGTCAAGAGATTCTATACTTGTCCTAAATACACGAGTAATTTATTTTAAAAAGCAAGATAATTCATAAAATCAGATCGATTGCGGAAATTTGTCAATTTTTTTCAAGTTTTAAATTCAGTAGATTTTATTTTTACACTATTTTCAGTGAAAATTCTCTCAGTGTGTAATAACGTTGTCAAGGCTGCCAAGTTTAACATTTGAAAATAAAAGGGGACGTTTTTGGAATGCGAGTATTGGCAAAGTTGGCCCGACGTCGGATGCCACGTCACGGTGACGTATGCGCAGGTCAGTATGGAACGGAAAATAGAAGCGTTTGAGACGAGGCAAAAAATGACAATCCCACACCAGACATTCACTCTATTTTATCAATGCTAATGGAAATCTAGTACAAACCGGTTACTTCACACGATAAAATTCAAAAATGATGTATTCCATGATGATGCATACGAAAAAATACTTTATTCAAATGCATATGATACTTGATGTTATATTATGTACTTGATGCTAATATATTCCACGTGGAATATCATACATGATTCAGATGATGCTTCAACAATTTTAGTTTTCAAAAAAGAATTTATATATCAAATAGGTATTTAAATATTACATATATACTGGCGAAAATTGCAATACGCCACATATATGTCGTATATAATTACTTTCATGCATATCTTTTCCATCCGGGTTTCTTCACTTTTATTTATTTATTGGGGAGAGTAGATTAATTTTTTCATCCTCAAAATTGTTGAAAATATCAATCTCTTCGATTAAGCATAATTAAAAAATTCTGGATGAAATTGCATAATTGTTATAATGAAGAATTATGTATAAATTATACTTGAGTCAAGTATATTTTTTGTGTCGAGTATTCATACTGTCTTATCTCTTTGCGCTACTTCATATGTTTACCCCGAGTGAATTAACATAAGTCTACATTTCTTGAGTAATTGAAGAACTGAGGAAATTAATCAAATATTTCGATAATTGTTATGGTGATGCAGGATTTTGGGTCAAGGGTTGCCCACATCTGCGATAAAAAAGTGGTAGGAGTCAGGGGAAAATTTCTGGTTTCACTTTTCAATAATTAATAATGGCAGGATATTCATTCATTCCTCGTTTTATCTGAATTATGAGAGTTTACTATCTGAATGCCTCAATATCTAAATGGATAATTCAAGGCTGGCACTTTATTATTTCAGTTTCGTGGAATAAATGCAAAAATATTTTATGGAAAGAATGACATGTGTTATGAACACGGAGATATGATTAAGAATTATTGTTACGAACGTCGTGATTTATTTTATTATTTTAATATAAAGGGCGTGGAATTATGTAAATTATTGAATATAGTGGCACTTTTAAAAATTTTCAAGCAAACTGATTTTCCGTACTGTTTCTCATGATGTCTTATCTGAGAATTGATTCTGTATAATTTTCAAATTCAAAAACTTGAAAATCTGCCAACACTTTGCAAGTGAAAAAACCCCTGTCGCAACAAGCCAAAAATATACCACTTTATTATTTTCACTGACACATTTTGTCACTTTTGACGGATTTCTATCGATCCTCATAGCTAGAATAATTTATAATAAAAATTGAATAATGTTGCGTACATAAATAAATAACTAATCTTGACATTATACAGCTATTGTGTTCGTCCATGTTTATGCAAATTCTCGACAGAAAATTTCCTCATTCCCTCCCAAAAAAATTGCATAACCAGCGAAATTTCAACTTTTATCTAGACTATTCTTATAGCAATTATAATTCTCGATTCGAACAATGTGAAAGCTGAAAAATTGATTATTTACAACACAAATAATCATTTTCCGAAAATATCATTTTTTTCATATCCTATAGAAATATCAGAGTAATCTGTTTGACAAATTGTTAAACAATTTATCCCCGTCTTCAAGACAAGTATAAGATTTCAAAGGTACGAAATTAATTTCGTTCTCAATGTCAGATATTTTCATATCCCCAATTCTTGCCTCATGATTTTTTTAATCCAAATTGGAAATGTATTTGTAAGAGAAATTTTCTTTTCAATGTAATGAATTAATTGTGCCGCCTCATTGCTCAACATCCCCTAATTATCCCCAATTTATCACATTGAGCAAGACGAGGGGAACATCTCAACACGGATTAATTGTTTGATAACAGTTCCTGCGAACTCGTCCACTTCTAGTATTGAAAGTATACAATGAAGGAACGAGCAATTTTCATATTGTGCTATGCATTTTGCCAGTTAGCCAATCGTACTACATTGTCGGTGCTTGACCGATCTTCTTCATTGCTCCAAAACGATGTAGTTAACACGAGGATAACCTCCTATGTTACTACAGCCGTTAAAATCCATCACGAGACGCGAGTTTCTTCAATAATCAATATAGCTGTGCGATAAATTTAGATTATTCAAACATTTCCCTATGTATTTCGAGATACTCCGCCGGACTTCCTTGTTATAACAATAATCAATGATTCAATCTCTACCACTTGCCACATACCGGTACTCTTACCTTGACCATGATTTATATATCCCCGATATTATATATTCAATGCTCCGCGAAAAAGTTAAAAATTAAAATAAAAATGACATGAAAGTTGCGTAATCACCGATTCAAAATAAACGTCACCATAAAAAAACACAACAAAAACGGAAACTTTTTTAAAACGGCTGAATTATTCCTGAATTGTTAAAATAGATATGCAGCCCCTAATATTGAATTATAAACTATACTTTGGAATTATTTGTGGAACTCAGGTATTTTTAAGAATTGAACCATTGAATAGTCCTTTGACAATTGATGACAATTCTTGAAATTCAATAGAAAAATGAAAAAAAAAACCAATGATTCACGTCTACGCGAAAATAAATAGCTTTCCCGTTATACCCTGACTTTTACAGTACACCGCAACTCTGACGTATAATTAGTCTGTGTTATTGTGCCAGTACGTGTTGCTTTTATCTTCCTCAAATACCCGGCGCCTCTTGTCCACACGGTTACACGAATACTCAACTACAAAACCACCATTTTCCCTATTTTCAATTTCATTTTTTTTCAATAAAAACATCCCTCTCAAAACCAATAAAATGAAAGTCACTGAACTGCTGAATAGAATTCCGTTGGAAAAACAAAAAAAAAATTCCACTTATTTTCGTTTTCTGCGCTTCCCTCATGCTAACGAAATAAATAAAAACAATGGCCAACTGTAATTCATAAAAAAACTCGGGGGTCAATGTTATCATTTCCTGTTCGCCGATATAAATCCGAGATATCTCAAGTGCACATGCATATCGATTAATTAAATTTCCATATGGGAAAGAATTCAACTAAACAGAAGACGTATGTTAATAAATCGTATGGAAATCTTCGATACGGATTGCGTATAAAAATTCTGTATGATTATCTTACGAAATATTAGAATAACAATCTTGATTATCTATTTACCAATTAAATTTGCTAAGGACGAAAGAATCCGCAATATAAATTGTTCTGCACATTTCCTGGTGCCAAATGAATTAACTAGGCAGAAATAAATTTATTTAGAATAATTTATTTTTACGCAAATCTCTATGACTGGACACCATTGCAGGATCTACAGACGTTTTAAATTACCGCCAAATATTGACCGAACTGGACTGTAAAAATTCACGATAACAAGTCGTCACTGCATTATCACTCGTACCATAAACCTATCTTTATGCTGCTACCACGTGTTTCGATTTGGCAGCTAGTGTCTTTTAAATCCATGACGAAATATGCGAATTCACATGCAGTTTCAATTTTCCCATGTGTCACGAATGGATTACGCTAATTCTATCAGTCTCTTGAATTTGAAGACTTCCGCAATAGCTATGCATATTAAAATTATTCGTTCTAGATATTCTAAATATAATATGGAGTTTGATCTTTCACTCGTTGGAAACGATGCGCATTGAAATTTCTTTTTTTTTAATTTACGTGTGATAATTCCACGGGAGAATTTCAAATTGACAAATAAAACTTCATCTATTATTCTCCCTATGCTAACGAGTTGAATTAAAATAGTGTCAATACACTGGAATTCATGAAGAAACTTGGAGGTCAAAGTTATCACCTCCCGCTGGCAGACATAAATCCGAGATACTTCATGTGCCCATTCATATGGATTTATTTAATTTTTACAGGAAAAAATTGAACTCCACAGATTGAACTCAACTCAATTTCCATTGAACGCAAGTCTTTCTCCCACACCCGCATGATATTAATACATAATTATTCATGTTAATTTGGCTCGGTTGAATGATGTGACATTATTGCATAGAATGAATTTGTTCGATTATCAATCGATAATTCTAATTGAAGTTAAAGCGACAAGCTTTTTTTGTTCACCCCCCCCCAAGTCGATACGATTGCATCATGCACCTCAAATTACATCCCATTAAATTTCCGGCGTCTATTTCCCGCGTCAGCTTGAAAAATTCACGAATTGGCGAATGCATTATCATCAAAAACCAAGATGACTTTTTTTATTCATCACCACGTGGTTGATACCAGCTGCGCGAAGCCTCCAACTGCATGACGAAACACGTGAATTCACTTGCATATAACTGCATTTTCCCCATATGCCGCAAATAAATGACACTTTAATTCAACCCATCAATTTCACTTGAAAATTACCACAAGCCATAGCGCTAATTATAGTGCAGAATTAATGATTGAATAAAATGAAATGTGGAACTTACCAAAAAAAAATGATGCGCCGGTTTTCTCGATGTCAGAGCCGAATTAACAATTTTTCACATAAAATCGTAAACTCATCACTGAAGAAATACTTGGGGATGATTGAGGTGCACTTTTGTGACAGTGGAGTTGTCCAGAGTATTCGGTAATTGTAATGTAAATGCAGGAAACAAGCGATGAAAAAGGCGGTGTTGAAGGAACGACGCGTTTCCACGGATGTTCGTGGCTAGAATAAGCCTCGGTAGACGGCTTTTTTTACAACACGAGTTCGTCAAGGGGGGATGGCAGGTATTGACTTTACGGTGAAGACCACCAGGGGCGCCTCCTACGTACCCCGCCAACCCGACAATTCTACATTCAGAAAAAAAAACGACTAAACTGAGAAAAATCATTATTTTTTCCAAGTTCATTTACAAATGACCGGACGTGTGGGGTAACATGGACATATTTTTTTTTGGGACTTAGAATTTTTTTTTTCATGATACAATAATATGATAACAATAATAATATGCAATAGTTATACGTAGGTAATTATAATATGTGGGGTTTTGGGGTTTCACTTTCACGTATGTATACAATAATAATTATAATAATATGATATTTGGATTTTTACAAAATCGACATAAAATCGATTTGGGGTAATATGGAGATATTTTCATTTAAAACTTGTGGTTACAATTGTTCGGCGCCCTTTTGCCCATAATTCACGATTTTTCATTTCTCTGGCGGTTTTGCATTTCGTCATTTTTTAATGACTCGCGGAATTTCGTGGTTTGTCTGATCATTTTCAATGATTTTATCTTTATGTTCAGAGAAATCGATCCCGCCAATTTCGCCTTGAGAATATTATAGTAAGGTAGAGACTAAAAGAAAAAAAAATCGTTTCAACTAGTTAATCACGAATTATCAACATAGTACTCCTCCTCAAATTAATTTATTGATGATTCAATAAAAAAATGATTGATGCAATAAATTGTTATCACGTATGTATCAGAACGAGATAAATCCTCCAATCTCGACTCTCGGCTTGATCACAATATTATTCGAGTTATGAAATGGATTTTGCACTTAAGCCATAATCACTTGTATCTTTGACATTGTTTGGGTTAGTAATAGCCATTCACTAACTTGTTGACATTTGTTGCCTCAAGAATGAGAATATTCATAGTTTTCAAAAATCATTAGGTGCAAAAATTTTATCTGCATGCAGTATCAGAAGGCCGGGGTGTGACGTCGACGGAAAACTCGTGACGCACGAAGTAAAATCGATAAGCAATGATAACGATCCCACTGGCGCCCTGCTGAGTAACTTTCTCCCCTTCTATCTCTAATTTTCACAATTACTTCCATTCATACTCATGTTATCTCAGGTAATCCGGATATTTTTACAAAATCCCCAGATACTCCATTTCTATTCCTGGCAAGCCAGCACTCTTGACGCAGGGGTGAAAGGTCCTTTTCTTCTACTTATTTTGTAGTTATTTTCAAAAATTCAGGTTTCCTCAGATTTTTCGTCATTCTCGTATTTTTAGAGTGTAGAGAGGAAAGGAGAGAGTGAATGATGCAATCAGCCCGCATTTTAAACCACTCTTTCAGGGTTTATTTTTATATAGCGGGGAAAAATGATCGGACTGGTCAAATAAGACAATATATTTACTTTCAAATCAATTTTAATATTTTGTATCATTCTCATATATATTTTAGATAATTGTAGATGTTCTAGGTAATTTGTTGGGATTTTATGTAAATAAACTGTATGATCACTCAAAATAAAAATAAAAAGTTAATAGGGGGTTGGATTTTTTGCTGAACTCGAAATTATCAGGCTGTCTCACGTAACATATTTCCTTCGTTATAAGAGATGTCTTTGAAATTATGTAGCAAATTTGCTTACTTTCTAGGTAATTACCCACGCAGAAAAGATTTCATATTCAATAAAATTCACCTTATCTATTACTACTGGATTATTATTACAAAATCTCATTACACAATTTCCCTGGATTTTTTTTCGTGATTTATTACCAAAGATAATAGGAAACCTCATCCAATCAAGTAATGAATAAGAGACCTCGCCTAGTTTTCCAATTACCATGCAAAACCCCCAGAAATTCTTCAGGCCTTATGTACTGTATATTTATCATAATAACACACCTCGTCACCACCCAAACCCCACAGTTGTCTACTCTACATTTTACTCCGATAAACTCATGACGAAAGATTCTGGCTACCTTACAGTACTGCACCTTCAATTATATTCTAAAATTCTTGACGTATTGGATCTAAAGGAAATTCGCCAAAATTCTCCAATTGTTTTATTGAGCTACTAGTGCATTCCAGTTTTGATTTTTGAAACGTTTTCTCTACTTTAGAAATTTACGAAGCATGAATAGAGAAAATAAAATAAAAAATCATAAAAAAAAATCTTTTAAAAAAGCTTTCAATTTAAAAAATCATTTCTAGATATTTATGGACCATGAATAGAGAAAATAAAATGATAAACCATTTTAAACGTAAAAGGAAAATACGATACACATTAAAGAAGAGCACATCACACATATTTGCTATTTCCGGACAGCATCTCGATTTCTCGTCTAAGAATTGCCATTAATATTTTCTACCTCGCGGTCAAATTACTTTATTTTTCAAAAGAAAAACGTTGCATTACCATTTTTAAGTCATGTAGATTCTAGTGATCACTGGTTATGAAAATTCATATCGAAATGAGTTTAATTGAGACTTCGAAGAATTCTCAAATGGACTGGGGCCACGTGATATTTCCAAGGATAATCTTGAAGTTAAGCCTCCCAATTTTCCGTCCTATATCAACAGTCGTCAAAAATAAGGGGGAAATAAATTAAGATGATTTGTGTTTCACTCAATTAACATAACTGTCGAACAAGGTACTAAAAGTTTATGACTGCTATTTACTTCATTTGGTTTCTCAGACGCAAAATAACTCAATCAGTAATAGCGATGGTCTCGTCGATAAGTTCAGGAAAACAATTTTTTCTGAATCATCAAGTTGATAATAATGACCAATTCCCAAAGACATGAAATGCACTTGGAAAACCATCAAGACAATTATGTAATTATCATTATAAAGATGAGCGAAGAGATTTGGGGAGGGGGAGAGGGTGAGATCTCGAATTCTTCGTTGGCGTCGGGTCAATTATCGAATGTTAAACGACTGAAAGAATTTTAGCTGCTGGTCTATCAATTCTCGGGTCAACTCGTAATATACGTTGTGAAACATTTGATTACATTCAATGTATTTCGATTTTTTCTTTAATTGATTGTTGAGGACCGCTCTCAATTGAATTATCATATTCAATATATTGAGAATATGCGACGATTGGAGTCCCACAGTATGATTCATGATCACTCAAGTATTACGTGTTCCATTATCGCTTTTTCCGATAAATAATTATATTTTCAGATGATTGATGATGACATTAAGACCTTGAAAGCCGGAGCTCATACCACATGCATTAGTCCTTTCAAATTTGAATACCTCCAAAAATGTAGAAGACTTTGCATTCTTCGAGTTCGATTTGTGAAAGCGTAATTATCATCTTCAGCATAAATATATGTGTAATCGGTGGTTGGGTATTTAACCATTGATGATCTGATTAATTCTAGAATACAAAAAAAAAATAATAACAGAGTTGAACAAATTTTTTCATGAGAAAATGCAAGAATTCTTCGATTACGTCTTGCTTTCTTGAAACATCGAGTTAACAAGTTAATGTCGATATTTTCTCGTTTTTCATGTTTTTTTTTATTTCTCGGAAACCCTGAGTCAGATTGACATGAAAAAATATATAATTTATTCACGTCCATTTTATCAATCGTTTCTCAGGGAAAAAAACTTGCAAAAAGAGAAGAAATCTTCAATAACTCCTTTAAAAAACGGTTGTCGCCTCACTGAAAGACATCAAATCCTTCTGGATTCTTATTATATCAGAAGTATCATTTACGAACACTCAACAAAAACGTGTAACACAACACTAAAAATGTCAGCAAAATGCAGAATAAATACCTAGCAGTCTTCTCCAAAAAATCAGCTGATCCCACACTTCCACCGTCCCATTCCATCACCACTCAGCCTAAAACATTTGAAACTAAAAATGTCACTAAACCTTGGTTATGTTTATGTTCCTCATAGAGGATCAATAAAGATCCCCAAAAATCATCAAGTATCCTAAGTATCCGTATTTTTCCCTTTCGTATTAAAACCAGGAAGACTCCAGACCAATCAGAATGGAATCATTCCCATCCCAAATCACTGGACCCCCAGATCCAGCTCCACCCCGCAGAGAGCAGTACCTCTTCCTCTTGGAGTTCTTCATCCACAGAATTGATAGCCAGAGGCTCGGCAGATTTAATGAAATGTTCTATGTCCCCACAACAGTTACTCTGAAATTCCTGAACCTCCAAGACGACTCGATCAAGATAACTCCAGTTGATCCAATGTTTGAGCCTCTATCAGGCATTCCTGGAGACTCTGAGAATTTCTTTTCAGGCAGATCAATCCTCTTTGCCATACCGGAGAAAATGGTGACAACAATATCCACAGAATTTAAAATAGATTTGAATGTTCAGAAGAAAATGCCCGATGAGATTCGTCCAGACATCTTGATAGGCACTGGAGAGTTGGACATGTCACCAGAGTTCGCTGGACTGAGGAAAGAAGTTCTCCAGTGCTGGCACAGGGATTTTCCTCCTCCTAAGGTGTTCGAAGGTCCAGTCAAATTATTTTATGAAGGAGAACCGTCAGGGGATATTTTCATCCTTGTGAAAATCTCGGGATTTGGTCAATCAATTGTCACTGAGTTTGATTCGCCACCTGAAGAGAAGGCGACATCCTTCGTCTTCAGGGGGGATGATCGAGACGATAAAAATCTTTCTTATAAATGTAAGGTTATTGATCCAGCTGATGTTGATATCTGTGAAGAGTCTGAGGATGATGCTGGAGATTGTCATGTCTGTTCTCCGAAGAAGATTAGGTGTATGCCGTGTGGACAGCCCGATTCTGCTCGGGTGAAAGTATTTTATTCGTCTAGATATTCAGTGTTTGCATGAGCCTTGAAATTGAAATTTTTCAGTTTTGATGGTGATTGTTTTTAGGGGACAGGGAAAAGCCAAAAATCACGACTAGAGAATCAAGAGCCATCGAAAGAATTGAGGATGGAACCTCGAGGAATGATATCATCGAGCAGAGGGGATCCTACCCCGTGTGGAAAAGCTGTTGTCCTCAAAGTTTCTGGACTCTTAGATTACGATGGAAAGAAAAAACCGAGAGTCACTGTGGGACCTGAGTCATCTGTTCCTGATCCAGAACACGATGTATTTGTTCTTAGAATTGGGAAAAAGGGATTAGTGGGGGCGGATGAGAAATCCGATCTCCAGCTAGAAATGAGAACACCAAAGGGCCCAGAACGACGGCCTCCAATTCGATATGAGACAAGAGAGGCTCAAACCGAAATTGAGACTAAAGAAGTTAAGAAAAAGGGCAAAGGGAAGAAAAAGAAATAACTCGACGAAAAAATATTGAACAGAACAGGAAAATTTCCTTTGAAAGTAATTTTTTTATCTTCACGTTCCTATTAATCATCGTGAGTTTATGATTTCATATTTGTTTCATGATTTTTAGAGCGAAAATTTAGTGATGTTTATTTGTTGTTATCTGACGTATTCGATATCATGACATTTATGACACTTACCATCGAAAATTAAGAGGAATATGAAGAGTTGAGGTGATGCTTTAGATGAAAATAGCTACAAAAAAAAGGACATGGCTGAGGACGAACAGCAGCTTTTTCTCATTGAATTTCTGGTAGATCAGGTCAATGTCCCAGGAATTCGTGCAATGCACGACGAGATTTTACCCGCATTAACCTGCGTCTCGTTTCAGGTAACGTTGGTATTGTGATCATTAGTGTTTTTATGTAAGCTTCGATGAGATCTGGCCTTATCAAAACGTGTGATGGTAAATTATCGTATCCTGAATTATGATATCGTATTTTTATATTTGATCACGAGCCCAACCTTGGGAATGATTAATAAAACTTTATATTCAGTGGTAAGCATCAAGATTATTTTGAAATGTACGTTGAGTCTAAGACCATGATGATTTTATTTCGAAAACGATAGATTTTATGAATTTGTCTATGGACGTCATTTTACAATTACCTGAAATAATTATTAATTCGATTATTTATCATTTCATTGTTAATTAAGTAAATTTCAAGCGAGAGGGGAGAGTTTTTTCAATTCTTATTGAAATATTTTTTCGTATGATTAATTTATGTTCAGATTCTCCGGGCTTTTTCCTTCTTGAATTTCTTCATTCTGTTTGCCTTAAGAATCCCATGTGTCATATAAGTGACAAAAATTTATTGATTACCAGATATTGAACCTTCCACCAATAACCATCCATCAAGATGACCCCGCAGCTTCCAACTGCGCGTGTTTGGAAGAGGCCCAACTATTTCGAAAGGGCAAATCCTGCCTTTTTGCACTTCCCACAATAGTGGTAGAAAAAGAATTGTACTCCTTCCCAATAACGATGTCTGTGTATAAGAAACTACCTCCTGGAGTTCTCCCAGATGTAATGCTGATTGGAAGTGCAACGATTGAGATAAAAGACTTGATGAATTCGCTGTTGAATAAGCAAGTCTTCAAGAGTGGAAATCCATGTAAATCCATGAAGGACACTTTCAAGTAAATTTCCACCAAAACCACCAGAGTTTATTAACTCCATTATATTTAATAACCAGTGTCTGAGAAAAACCAAATACTATTTCATTCAGTTGTCAAGTTGCAAATATCCCGGTAATTTAAGATTTTTGATACTCTTCAATACAAACTACTCATGCATTCAGTATTCAGTACTCACTATTTCATCCTTCATTGTATAAATTTGTTTAGAGATCGAAAGAGAAGGAGGAATAAGAATTTCCGATAATTATTTAGTAGATTCACACCCGGGATTATCCCCGGCGCAAGCACAATGGACTGCGAAACTCGTGTTTACGATCAGTAATGACCCAAATAAATACCGCGAATGGGTAGCCTGAGTTAGAGTATTTAATTGTCCCTTTTAGATCACGCTTGAGAATCCACTGTAAGGTAAACCAAAGGCAGTTCAGACAAGATCGGTTGATATTCAGGAAAAATTCGCACCTGGACTGGAGCCACAGTGCTGGTGCGCGTCTACTAAATAATTACAAGAACTTCTCTGTAAAATAATTCCATATCTTTCCAAATAACAATGACGAGAAGAATAATAATAATTTTGAAGATAATTCATCGTCTGTTATAGAAAATTTAATTAAATTAAATACTACATACCTGTTATTTATTATTTAGAACATTCGGATTCGGATCTCATTTAAAATCTTGAACTCTTACTTGATAAAAAGATAGACAACTCATGGTATTTAATCGGAGAACTAATGAAATCGATAATTTTCTATTCAAATTTCGGTAGAATATCAACAGCGACCGGTCAACTAGTGGGTGACGCCACAATCTTCATCCGAACTTCCTGCTACGGTCCAAGAATCGTCACCCAATTCCAAGTTCCTCACAATAAAAGGCCTTACCTGTTTAAAGGAGCGGCACAGAGCCCGATATTCCAGTGTAAAAAAATCCCTTCGAAACACTCACCTCCGGCATCTCCACGATGTAGCTGTTCCCCTCGGACTAAACCAGAAGACGAAAGCGGAGAAAGCCCCCGAAGAAGTTGCTGTTCATCACCAGGCTCACCACCACCACCTCCTCCAACGCCCACAAATACCTGGGGTGCACCTGACAGATCGCCATTCAGACCATGCTGTCCAACTCTTCAGGGACAAAAATGCCAAGGCGCACCTTTATTACCCTCTTCACAGAAAATTACACGTTCCGCTTCTCCACCATCGGATCTCTCAAGGGCAACACGAGCTCCGGGAGGGCAGAAAAAATGCGGCTGCTCTAAAAACAATTCACCACTTGTTAATAAATATTAATTCAGTAGAGTGTCAATAAAATTCAAGGATCCAATGGATCCTCGTTGAAATACCACGGATTTAAAAGATGGCAAAGATTGATAAAAGACGTAAAAGACTAGATCATACCATCTAACACAACCCAATTATTTAATTAATAAAAACATTAAACAACGAGTGGATGTAAAACCCTGAAAAAAAAGTTTTTTATCACATGGTCGTTTGTAAAAAATTTGTTTGTAAATTACTTCACTTGAAATTTACGTTTTTCAAATGGCAATCGAAATTTTCAAAACTGTAATTGGGGTTTAGATTTTTGCATGTGAAGGTATTCTCATTGAAGATTCAGAGAAGACACAATAACTCAACCATAAAATCCATAAATAACACGCGCGAGCGGTATAAGCTAAAATTTCAAGTAAAGCTGTGAAATGACAGGAGACAGCTGCACACGTTATGGTTTTATTTGTGTAAACCTACAATAAAGGGGAAAGGATCAAATGAGTTCTTTTTCATTATCCCATGCTAGCTCAGGACCTCCCATTTTTATCCCTCGTGAATGTCAATTCACAAAGCTCAAAGTTACACGCAAAATCGGCTACAGTTTCATTCTCAATTTTTTTATATGCGGAGAGAAATATTCAATAAAAATTACGGAAGACATTATTCATAAAAAATTCAAATAAAAATTACGGAACACTCTAAAAAAATTCGTAAATTATATTATAATTATATTCCATAAAATTTTCCTTGATCACCTTTTCATTTTTTTAATATATATAGTATAATTTATATATAACCTGATTACTCATTTCGCAGATGGTTCAGAAATTAACAAGGCGGAAAGATCTCCATCGGAAATGTCCGTCAATGAATTACCCTAAATCTCTCAGCACAGCCACATGCGGTTTCCTCGTACGCCAAAAGACAATAATGAAACGAAACAAAATATGATTGAATAGTTAAAAATTTAAATGCTAACTTTTCCCCAACGATTCTCGTCTCGACGGACTCTAAAATAACAGAAAAATTATTGAAAACATCTCTGAGGTGTGCGTTACCTGAAAGAAAAATAATTTAAATCAAATACATTCCGTTTTCAATACGATATTCGTAAAAACTTGTATGTCAGATAAAAAAATCGTTGCCAATTTTTTAGCAGTAATAACAATTAGAAATATAAACGAATTAATCCACCAATTAAATTAACGAAGAAATGGGTGCAATCGATTTCCAAAAACTGTTGGGAGTATTATCGAAATAATTCACGCCAACGAAAATGGATTCTTTTGCAGTCAAGTATATTATATAGCATTACAACCGAGTATATTATATATCTCAACAATCTGGTATATAATATATTTGATTCGAATGCATTTTTTTCGTGATGGGGGAGCGATGGGGGCATTAACCTACTGGCTGCGCAAACGCTGGAGTTCACCCCCGAATATTGTAGACCGATATTATAGCGCTTGCGCCATCGAGTGTCTGGACAACCCCATCCCTATCCCCATCTCCATCCCCATCCCCGTGAGCACTTGTGCGTGTCCGAGGACAGCATATTGCTTTCAGTGCGTTCGGTAGCTCCTCCTGGTGCGCCCACATACGGCCTAAAAAGGATTTCATCATGTGAATGGACATTTACCCGTGGAAGGTGACGTGAAAGACCTCGGAGATTATCTCCACCTGAGATAATCCTCAGGATGAATGGTTCACCCCAGAATTCGGAAGCCGTTGGCTCCAGACGATCCGGCCTCGAGAACAGTGATGATGAGGATTGGAGTACTGTCGTTGAATGTGTAAATATTTTTTCCCTCATTCATATTTTTACTCATTATTTCCCCCTGGGAAAGCCGACTCCTGGGGTTCCTTGAGGGTTCGCTGATTGGTATTTGCAAGTCCATTTAATTTAGAGTATGGAGAAATTTGCGGTTTATTTATCCGATTTATAGACGACGAGAAACCAATGGGATGGAGACGGGGTGTGAGAGAACGTCTGTGTTGGGATCGATATGTAATTTCGGGGTGAGAGCAGTGATAAAGAGTATTGCAGCACTGATATTCAATGTACCCACTGTCCTTCCATCGATTCCAATATTCCTACAAATTCCATTATTTCAAACAAAATTGTCGATCGGCGGATCACAAAGAAAAAATCCGCGGGACTTGAAGAATGGAAGATAGATTAGAAGAATAGATTCAAAAAGAATTTCAACAGCTGGGAACACTTTGGAATAAAATATCTTAAATGATTATATATGAAAGGCAAATGGTAAATGAAGATGATACATTCATTGTAATCACTTAAATTTGCTAGGGAAATTCCAAGTTTTCGATATTGTGATTGACATTTTCCATCTTCTGCCGCGTTTCAACCAAAATTACCGGTTTTTTTGAGTTTTTCGACAAATCGTTGGTGATTGACGCAAAAAAAAATATAAGACTGGTATTCTATCATTATTTCATGACTCTCAAAATTTTATGATACAATTCCTCATGATATTCTGCGCACAATGGGGAAAATCGATAGTTTCACTTTAAAGTACGGAAAAATCAATGATGAAATAGTCTGAGAAGATGAGTCAGCTCAGCTTGAGACTGTTTTTTCAATAAATATATCTGAAAAACTCAAGATATTTGATTATTTGCAGGAAATCAAAAATTCCTCTTGTGAAAATCATGAACTAGAATGAATTTTTATAATCAAATTGAATTGATCTCATTCCTTAATACTTTTTCAATAATTTTTTGTGAACATCAATAAAATGGAATAATTAAAGAAATAACAATTAATTTGTTCGAAGAATACTATTAATTATAACAATGAATGGATGTGTAATTTTTTGGAATCAATTAGATGATTACGATTGCAGTGTTCATTTGTTGGGGAATGGTAAGCAAATCTTTGCTCCAACACTGACATTCTTTGCAAAATAAATAGCTGACGTTCGCACATAGCTGAATTATTGTTTTTAATCAGTTTACTAGTTGCCTCAATTCCTCGAAGCCAAGTAAATCATCTCAAATGAAATTTACATGTAATCCCCGTAATATTATGAATATGGAACTCACCGGATGCATGTAATTCGCGTTCTCAACATTTTCCGTGAATTATGCGTCCAATGAAGCCGAATTTTCACACGAAAGTTGTCTCCAAGTTTCATCTCTCCTCAGGCAGATGCGCCCATGAAAAAGATAGTCGAGGATTGGATTCTAAAAATATCGAATTCACCGGAAACACGGAATTGCAACAGTTCACGTTCTCGGATTTCAATATCAAGAGTAGTTAGTTATGTTCGAGTGCTTCAAGTTAAACGAATGTGGCGAATTCTATTTATCATTAGACGATTGGCAGAAAATGTTCATTAAACCACAAAACAATCCCGGTACACTTGCTGGAGCTACATTGAGTTACATTCTATTTTGTAAAACCGATAGCGAATCGGGAAAAATCCACTTGCCACTCAGAAAAATAAAATAAGAAAGCTTTTGAAAATGAGAAATTGTTTAATATCCAAATTTCACGGATTGCATATTCTCTCGAAAAGAAGTTCTATTATTTTCTCGCGAATAAATCTGTGTAATGACTTTAATTTATTTTGTGTGTTATCAGGCGGTGTTGGAGAGATCCAAAACGGATCGAGTGACACGCAGTGATGAAGACCGTCGGCGGCGCACTATCATCGTAGAAAAAAAAAATGGAAGTTATGGTTTCACATTACAGGTATAAGAGACTCCACGTTAATCAGTAGTTCGCGATGAATGAATGAAATTTTTTACGTCAGCCCGAGTGCATTGCGATGTTTTAAGGCTTTTGAGTTGGAGTTTTTCCAAGATAATGAATTATTTTGTTCCGGTAAAGAGACTGTTATAATTATAAAGTTCAAGTGGTAAAATATCAGAGAGGATTTCAAATCCCGTTTTCATATTCACTGCGTCGTTGAGTATTTGCGTGATGAGAGTTTATTCATTTTGGAATGAATAGCGAAAAGTAACCGGAAATTCTTTTCTCGGTGTATGCACTCGAGAGAAAATTAAACAAATAACTGAATTGACCTTTGAAAAATCTGTAAATGCACTTACAATATGACGCAATAATGCAACAGAGATATTTTAATGTCGACAGAGCTATGGGATTCATTACAAAAGAGAGCAAGAAATCGAGATGGTGACGTACGTTGATTACGTGGAATACGATGGTCCGGCATTCAAGGCAGGAATGCGCGAAGGAGATGTGATTCTCTCGATAAATGGTCACGAGATGGACCGGGCTGACCACAAAACCCTCGTCAATTTCATAAAGAATTGCGATGCCCGAATGCGAATGGTCGTCTCTTTTGAGGATTGTGTCAGGAAAGTCGAACTCCACATGCGCTACATTGAGCTTCAGCGTGCCTTGCAATCACGTTTATCCGAATTAGAACGTCTCTGTGAGCGCGAAAAATCCATTCTCATGGGCAGATGGAAGACACATTCTTTGCCAGCGAGAAAACGAACACCTAATTGCGGAGCAAGTGATCAAACTCCTGGATCCGGAGTCTCCACTTTAAATACATCGACGGTCCAGTGCTGCAGACCAGCAACATCAACGGAACATCTTTTATTATATAGCGTTGTAAGTTCGCAATGGTTTCTACAATTCTTTCATTATTTTATTTCAGTAATTATCTCAATTATGTGTCATTTTGAATAAATTCACTTGATGACTCTATTTATTTTTTTTTATTGCTTTACTCATTTTTGGAAATTTCCCTGTAGAATTTCATTACTGACTGAAATAAAAATTATGGGATTGTCTGTTATCAGGCAAAAATATCGTAATTAAGTGGAAAAAGGTCATACGAGTGTATTCTTGAAGTGTACCCTTGAAATTCCAGTACGCAGATGGTCGTCCGTGCCTTATACCTCGCAGCACAGCATGTCTAGTAGCGGTGGGTCCCCCGCGCTCCAGAAGCGATCATCATCATTTTTTATCAAAGGCCTCAAACGACTCAACGATTTCCTCCCGTCACAGCTACCACCAGGCGAACGGCTCCTCAACCCCCGCCAAATCCAAGGCCGTCCACAAAACCCCATCCCCATCCTGTTCTTCAAAAGACTCCAACCCTCACCACACGTCATCCCACACCAGCAACAGTCTGTGCGTCGCCTGCATTTCGAGTGCCAATCGTCGAAGAGACCCCGCTGACGGAGGAAGCCTAGATGTCTACGACCTAGCCAGCCCCTGCTGTGATCCAAACTGTGTTCCGAGCAGAAGAAGACGAGAGAAGCAAAGACGAGCGAGGAATGAGGCGCAACAGGCCCAACAGGCCCAACAGATCCAACAGCAAACTCAGCAGCAAACTCAGCAAATACAGCAGCCGCAACACCACAATCAGAAGGAGCACAATCAAGGACAGCAGCACACGGGTCACTCCTGCCCCAGGTCATCAGGTCACAGTCTTCACTCGATAACATCGAGTGATGTCTCGACGACAGTTGAGAGTGGTGCATCCTGCTCGACATCCTTGAGTACAGATACTCTCTACTGGGATCCCAATGTTCAACACCGACCACCACCCTGCATTCAATATCCCAAACCCAAATCCTGGGACAATCTCACCACTAAAGCTTTTGGAGGGTATGGGTTTGGATATGGATATCTGGATACTGCCTCTATCAAAACTCACAGCGCAGAGAGACCGGGGAAAGGCCACAGAGCCAAAACTCCTACATCCTCCGGTCAGAGACGATCAGGGGGGTCTGTCTACTCCGGAAGCTCCAGTGGAACCTCCAACAGACACTTCCAACCGACCAAATCTACGGAGAGTTTACTCGGCCAGAGCCCGTATCAGAGCGAGGTCGATTCTTCGAGTTTGAGCTGCGAGTGTCTCGATGGGAACACCAGGTTTCTCCATAAAAGGCAAGAGGAGGCCACTTATGCTGGGGGAAGTGGCCATCATCTCGCTAGAAATCGTAGGAGCAGCCATGGGGATGGCAAACTCAGAACTCCTGCTAATGCTAGCTCTGAGGTTACAAGATTGTAATGAGTAGATGCCGAATGTTTAATAAATTGTGTACTTGGTTCTCAGCTTTGAGTTTTATTTGGATCCCAGATAGATTTTAGGACAAATAATTGGCACTTTTCACAGGGGAGTATGGACCATGAAGGCGCATGCAAACAATCGCATATTCTCGGTCGTACGGAATTTCATGATTATTGTGTCAGATTCGAAAGAGAATTCCGGCATAAAATACAATTAGAATTATTAAGAATCAAATTTTGTTTACTCACCACACAGATTCAAAATTACGAAGTAACTTCTTGATAAATTTGAAAATTAAACCAGTAATTAAATGGCATATATTATTTTCATTAACATTTACATTCCTCATCACGAAAAAGGAAGTAAATGGAGAAGATGAAATGAAAAAAACAGAATAAAAAAGCCGTACCGGTGCCGGTTTTTTAAAAAGCTGAAAAACACGTTAAAAATGTTCCATTAAACGACATCTGTAACTAGAAAAAGCATTTCTGTTATCTTGATAGTTCCCCACTTTGCCGACAAGCTCATCGGATCTAACGGAATAGCGAACTTCGTCGTCATTTTGATTTTTGTTAACGTTTCGAGGAAACTACTGGAATCTGACGAAATCGCTGCTGTCGCCACGCTAGTGGTGGTCCCATCTGAATTAAAAGGTATCACCGAATTAAGTAAAGATCACTCGATATCCGCGAACGTGATAAACTCAATCGCTATTAAATTTGTTGTCTCACTTTTCATCACAAAGATATCAATTTAATAAATAAAAATGTCGGATTGGGACACCGTGCCGATCACACTCCGAAAGAAGGTTCCAAAGGGTTCAGCACTGAAATCGGAGAAGGTACCAAATATTTTGATTTTTTTTTTCCTAAATACTCGTGAAGTATGAAGTGTTGGAAAGAAAATTAAAAAATTATTATTAAAGGCAATCAACACCGCCCGTCGTCAGGGAGTTGCAGTCGATACTCAAGTTAAATGTAAGTTCATTTTGTTAATAAAAAATTTAACTTGCACAAAACTATCAAGGACACTTCGGACGTTTTTCCAGGTCACTTTATTTTCCTCAATACCTCCGTTTTCATTGGCTCATTTGCGATAATTATGCCAATCGTCATGGCGTTTTAAATACAATGAACCCTTTCATTTGTTTATTTATTTGTATTTGTTTAGCGATGTATTCCTAACCATTTGGTTGACTTACTTTCAAAGGGGGTGGTGGTGCTAATAAGCAACATGTTACAACTAAAAACACCGCAAAACTTGATCGCGAGACTGAGGAATTGAAGCATGAGACTGTACCATTGGATCTGGGCAAGTTGATTCAACAAGGACGGGCTAATAAAAATCTATCTCAGAAGGACCTTGCTACGGTGAGTAAATGCATTCAATTTGTTATTAATTTTGTTTTAAAAAAAAGTGAGTAGTCCGATACTAACGTCAAGATCGAAGATCGAAGATCGAACCTATTCCGTTTTACAGAGATGAGAAAAAGGTGAGGTTGAAGTGTGAGTAGTTGAAAGTAGTTGAAAATTTGTACGAATAAAATCTCCATGAATTCCTGTTGCTTCTAATTTCTGAACTACAGTTACTCTCATAGAGACTTAAATACGGATTCGAGAAGATATTATTTCTGTACGCTAATTGAATCTTTGTTTCACTCCGACAGAAAGTCAATGAAAAAGTTCAAGTAATCAACGACTACGAAGCAGGTCGTGGGATCCCGAACCAACTGGTAATCGGTAAAATCGAGAAAGTCTTAGGCATGAAACTTCGTGGAAAAGATCGTGGCAAACCATTGGAGCCCCGGGGATCAGCAGCGAAACATTGAATCTCCGGGGAACCAACGAGTACTTGAAAACTTTCTTTAAGGTTCTAACAAAACATCAACAATACAAAAATTCGAGAAAAAAATGTTGAAATACATAAGTAAATGCTAGAATCACCAGAGAAAATCTCCCAGCACTATTGTCTTTTTTGTTTCCTATCTTGCTCGCAAATTATTTCTTTTCTTTCTTATTTTTATGCCTCATTTTTTGATACGATGTATTATAACATAGATTTTTGTTACACCTCTGTTTATATATTTGAAGAATCATAGATATTTTATAAGAGCTTGAAAATTAAAAAGAAAAGAAAATCAATGAGTCTAACGTCGAAGTAAATGGAATTCAAATAGGAATCATTTCAAAAAATTCACAATTATCGATAATAGAATGTGGTTATTCCTAGAATAATACATTAGAATTTCCAACGTGAATTATCCGGAAATTGTACTGAGTTCACTAATAAATGTAATTTATGACTAAAACTATTTTTTCATTTGCTGTAGAATTACAACTTATCCATCCCGAGGAACAACCCAACCTATTAGGAATACAGAAATTCATTAAAAAAATTCACATAATTTATCGAATAAATCCTCACATTTATTCAACATTATTACTATTAATTACGTTGGAAATAAACCATTTTAAGAAAAATCTTTTCGATAACCTTCGAGACTCTTCTTAATTTCGGCAATTTCTAGAAGAATTAAAAAATTGTTGGCGTTTTATGAAGTTGTTAATTTCAAGTAAAGAACAATGATATTTATTGGGAAAAGAAAATTTATTCGGTTAAGTTTAATAAGTATTCGTAAAAATTCAGAATGAACATGACTTAATCCTTTCTCAACTCAAAGCTATCATTTGCAATACCATCTTTAGTGATGATCTTGATGCTGACACTGTCACCAGTGTAAATATCCCTTTCAGTAGCTGAAATAAACACATCCTTGATGATGGCGAGAGCCTTCTCCTTAGTCAGAGGTTCTCTGTCAGGTTTTTCCTGATTTTTGAGGCCGACGAGATTGTCGAGGAGCGGTTGGAGAAGAGCTCCGGAGGAGCCACCGGCTCTGTACATATTTCTCTCAACGTGACCGATGGGATCATAACTGTAGATGCAACCGTTTCCGTTCTCATCTAAACCGGCTAGAATATTGCTCACATAATAGGGAAAGAAACGCTTGTAGTACAGCATTGTGGAGAGCATCTGGGCTGTTGCTGGGGTCGACATGTCCTTGTTGTGTTCATGTTTGTACATCTTTCGGTAAATCCGTACGGAAAGTGAAAAAGCAATGTGAAAAAAAAACAATTTTAGTAATTAAATCATTTCGCTAATGTTATTCCCTGAACCTCCCATAGATATTTCAAATGGAAGAAGTGTAAGTAGAACGCGAAAATTACCTGCGTACGAGCAGCGAGAATTCTCGTCAATGTCAGGGTATCACACCAGCACCCTGAACATCCCAAAACAGTTTTATCAGATAGTTTGAAAAGCTTATCCTGATGTCTAGTGTAAATGGAGTAACCGGCGCTCAACCGAGTTTCAGCTGCGATAATGGCAAAATCCTCGCCAGCGATAGCAACTACACTTCTGCGAAAACCCAATGAAACCACAATTACATTCATTCATTAAAATTTTTAAAAAATCCATATACTTATGAATATTTTTTATATTATATTTTTTATTTGCTAGAAAAATAAAAAAACGTGAACTCTGGTGGAAAGAGTGGAGAACATCTTAAGAGTGAAATAATGTAGATTATGACTCTGTAGAACGTTTTCCGGTCACAAATTTAATGCCATCATGTGAAATATTTTATGAATCCGATTCGTCAATTATGATAACTGCACTTCGATTAAAATAATAAACCAATTTAATATCCATGATGTTAAAAATTCCAGTGAGGTTATCAAATATTTCTTACCCTCCATTATCAGCATAAGGGCTGAAATGCACCTTCCTGGCACCAGGAGCCTCGTAATCAGGCAAACCAGCTCCAGAGTATGCACTCAACAATGCCATATTAGACAAAGAATTCCAATTAGACCGAAATAATTATTTAATTTTCGAGCGGATGACAACACACTTTTACCAGCTATTGCTTGAGGATGACAAAGCGGAGCGACAATGAGCGACAAAAATTGCTACCCCAAATCCAGAGAGGATTGACCAAAGTAGAGGCTCAGTTCTGGGGGTTTGAGTGACCCCAGCGGCATCGTAGTAGCCGACCCCATAAGAGGGAGGGCGCCACATCCAACGCTGAGGTATCTGTCGTTAATCGACTCAGCGACTTTTCAGTAATATCCCTCCAGCTTCCCTTTTAATAACTCTGAGCTGACTGGAATTTTTGACGAGCTGATTTCAAAGCCTCCGACTGCTAATTATTGGTGTTTCAACGAATTAATAGTTATTAAAAATATCTTCACAAATTTGTCAGTGATGTTTACTTGATTTACTTCAATAATAATTTAATATCGTACTTACTGTTTTGGGCGGAGATATAAAATACGACGTAAATTTAAGGCCCGGATGGATTATCTGGAAAATAAAGGATAATTTATTCCCAAATTTGGACTGCTAGTTACTCCGGAAATTAATCGTTTTTTTTCAATAATTGTTAGCTAGCACCGTAGCGGTTGTC